ACTGCGTTTTCACAAGTCTGTAACCACAGTTAGCCAGTTTGGCATTTTCACACTGAAGCCTGAGGGGTTTGACTTACTGTTGGAGCCAGCCTCAAGTGGCCTTTACAAAAAAATTGGCGCAGATGTTGAATTCATGTTTCATCCCTGGAAGTCACTGCTTGGTTTCCTTATTAGTGAATGTGATCATGGGTAATACATTCAGTCCATATGCATCATATATTCCAAATGGCTGATATATGTCAACAGACAGCAGGTCAACTATCAGTGTCCCTGCCAAAAATAAGTTATAATGACCCTCTGACTTCTGTCCTTTTCAACCTCATGACAGCCTCGTTAGTTTCTCATCTTCTGTTTATTTGCACAGATTAGCCTTTTGTATTCTGTGAGGAACTGAACCGGTCAGTGTGGGGAGGTCTGCAGAGAGGAAACACAGCTATGTTCCTTGCACAGGAATGGCAGTTTAAAAGTCCAGTTTCCCCTCTGACAATAGACAGCATGGAACATACTCGGGGGGGAATGAAGCTCCCAAATGTTCAACACTGATGGATTGCCCAAACAAAACCAGTCACTGAACAAGTGAAATTAATAATAAACCAAAACATCTCTGTTTACTGTAGCTTGTTTCTATGGCAGCAGGTTGCCAGGGGAGACTGTGTTCTTTATAGGCTGTTGTTTAGGTGTTTAAGTTTATCACCACAGTGATAGCAGTTTGTGTTTGTGTTGCTATGAACTTTTCACATGGAAGTTAAAAATGGCAAATGGCCATTTAAACAAGTGGAGCACTTTGAGATGGAGAAAAATTGACGTGATGCAGGATTTTCAGTTCATACAAGCGGTTTGATCCTCAGATAAACGAGAAGTCAACACCCTTCCAGATACATGGCTGAACTTAGCAGACAGCTACAGTCAAACACATTTGGGTCTAAGTGCGTGAGCCGAACACATTATGATGGATGATTTTAAGAGACGGCCTCAAATGCGAGCTACACTCTGTGGAGTTGCTAAGGCGACACATAAGTACTGAGACACACTGGGAGACGTGAAAGTTTTCCCATTGTTTATCTCAATAGGATACCATCTCCATGCTGTCTTACATCTGCCACATTAAAGTGATCACACATGGCTGAGTGTAGACTGTGGACTGTCATCTTAACCTCAAACTGCTCTGAAACACATTAGTACTTGGTACTATGGAGGACCTAAATTCTCAAAAAAGTAAATAAGAAAATGACCATGCACCAGGAAAAATAAGTCAATGTAAGTATTTGTTTAAAAAAATTCATTTAAAAGTTTTATTTTTTCATTCATCTGCTTTTATATTAATTTCCCAATTAGCTTACTTTCTTGTTTAACACTACAGGCTATTTTCAGCTAGACTGGCTCATTTCACCTGACTTGTAACCATTTCTGTTGCAAGTCTTTGAATGACCAACCAAAAGGACCAAAGGTGAATCAACAACACTGTGACTGATAGCTCCTTTATTACCATACTGAAGCAAAATATGCCAAGGGGAATAGCAAAATAAAATAATGAATAAATGGGAAAATGCAAAACTAAAATACTACAGGTATTTTAGCCCTAGCAGGTCTTAACATGAGGTAAAAAAATACAGCCTCAAATGAACTATAAAACATGACATATCTCATTGTGTCATTATTTATTTAAGAAAGGGCCAGGATGGATGCAAGTGTTTGAAACTACACCCTCCCTGCTTTCATAAGAATTAAAAGAGTAAGGTGCTGGTAATCAAATGCACTTGATAACAGATCATGAGCAAGTATGACCACCTCCATAAAAGCAGAAGTTTGTTGTTCTGGTGCATTCAAATGTGTTACCACAATGCCAAGGAATGCACAGCTTAGGTTTGTAAAAATGGATCTGGACAAACTGTCTGGACCTTTGGATAGATGAAACCAAGGTGGAAATCTTTGGCCGTAATTCACAGCGCTAAACTAAACACAGCACATCAGCACAAATACCTCATACCACTTGCTACCATACTTTTAGATGGGTTTGACTTTGGGCTTAATTTTTCAGTTGTCGGCTCTGTGGCACTGTGCAGTCAGTGAGTGGACCATGAAATCATCTGTAAAATAAACTAATCTAGAGGTAAATGTGCAGCCATCTGTCTGACAGCTAAAGTTTAGCAGAAACTAGGTCATGCAAAGGGACAATGTTCCTAACCACACTAGCAAATCTACAAGAGACTGGCTGAAAAAGTCAAATGCCAGACTTTCAACCCAATTGAAATGTTGTGGTGGGACCTTGAGAGAGCTGTACATAAACAAATGCCCGCAAACCTCAATGAACTGAAGCAACATTGTCAAGATAAGTTCCTTCACAACGATTTGAGAGACTGATAAGGTCACACAGAAAAACGATTACTTCAAATTGCTTTTCCCAAAGGTGGTTTTACAAGATATTGAAGCCTGGGGTGTGTACTTGCTTGCTTTGATGTTTTGGCTTAGGTTTTGTTAATTCAATAATGATTTGGTGTAATACATCATGTATTGCTGTAAATCTTCAGTGTATTTAGGGTATTTACCTAATTTTAAGGCCTGGTAAGGACTAGATCATCTTTTTCCTATGACTATACTTTTCGGGGTTAGGTAATATACTATAAAGGTGTTGAAACTCCTACTTAAATATCCGTTCTTTCCTCCTATATTACAGGAAGAAATCCAGTCGCACCATCATATTCGATGAGTTCAAGGTTGCGCTTGGAGAGCTGGCCAGGAAGAAGTATAAAGACAAGACTGGAGAGGAGGCTGAGGCAGAGGTGTTCCAGCTGATCGAGGGGAAGTCACCGGTCATTTCAGGAGTCACAGTAAGATTCGATCGGAAAGTTTCACAAGTTTCAAAACACGTCTCCTTTTTCAGCAGTAAAAACTCAAACTTTCTTTGTGAACTTCTTCACAGAGAGCCGTCGCTTCCCCAACAGTCAGTCGTCTTACGGACACCACCAAGTTTACAGGGTCGCACAAGGAGCGTTTTGACGAAACCGGCCGCGGGAAGGGTAAGGCGGGACGAGTAGACATAGTTGACACTTCTGGATACGTTTCGGGATACAAGCATCAAGGGTCGTATGAAAAGAAGGTGACCAAACCCACTGCGGGTAGACCCATGTGAGGGCGAAGACAAGGAAATAAACATTTGATCAACTACTAGGATGATTTTCTATTAAACGATTACTCATAGAAAGCACAAAAGCATAGGATTTCATATTTTTTCCCCATCCATCTATTTTATGTGTGAGTGTGTGTGTGTGAGAGCGAGCAAGCGAGAGAGATGTTTTTGAGTTCCTCTCTTCGTGAAGTGTGAGAACTGGAAAACTGTTTACATCTATTTTTACAAATTCATCACCAGCTGGTACATTCCTGTCTGATAGCAAGTTACTGCCAAACACTGAAGAGAACAAATGAGAGAAACTGCTTTGCTATGACTATTTAGGCTTTGTTGTTATGATAGGGCCTTGTATTTATTGAGCACAATGAGCAACATGCCAAGAAAAACAAAAGTGGGACAACAGTTTGGTGAATATACATTTGCACTTTTTAATAGAAACATTTGTTCCCATGTTTAGCTGATTACACGGTTTAGCTTGTTTTGCCATTCCAAAGATAATTGGCACAGGTTTTTGACAGAGATCATTGATTTTTCTCTTTCGAAACCTTAAATTCATTCAGATTTCAGCGTTGTCTGTTCGCCATCTGCACTTAGTAACTGTTTCGTCTTCATGAAATCTGCTGTTTGTTATTTTATGAGCTCACACTTGTCTTTTCAGTAATCTGCCTTTAGTTCGAACCAAGAAAATCGTTTTTTGGGGAGGTTTTTTTGTGAAAGTTAGTCACCCCTCTCAGACTAAATATTTGTGACCTTTATCATACCTTCTTGCTTTTGTAAATACATATAAAAACAAAACAAAAGCTCTCCCATGCAGAATTTAACGAGCTTACTTAAAGCTCTTACACAAAACCTAAAAGGACTTCCCTGTTTTTTCCCTCTTAGTCTTTATCTAGCTTTATCATACCATATTTTATTTAATTATACACAAACTGTTTTGCTAACATGCATTTTAAGTAATAAATTGGTAAAGAGAAAGCTCTATCCACAGATGAGATGAGCCTAACTGTACAAGATTGTATTTTTAACATTTTACTTCCTGATCAGATTTCTATACAGTAGTTCTAATATATTTGTGGTAAGATTGTGTATATTCTAAAAAGGTTAAAGCCACATTAATTTAAGACACTGGCTTCAAGTTTTATTTTCTATTTGTATTATGTATTGCTGTACTTTGTGCATGTTATGTATATTGCATTTGATTCAGCAGCATATAGATGACGGTAGGAGTCTGTCATATTATATTGGAACTGCTGTGCCTGGTGTAAGAAGAGACTACTGGGTGGACAACATTGTGTTGTTAAAAAAAAAACATTAAGTAATGAAATTGTGAGACGACAAAATCTTGTATTGTTTGAAATCAATATGTATGAACCTGTACGTGTACAAAGTCAGCTAATGCTCTAATATTTGTTGATAAAAATCTCCTAATGCGCACAGTCATCCAAGGCACAGATTTAACTGAAGAAAAAACAAACAAACGCAGGGATTTTAATGTTTCCTTACACACTGTATCAGAAAAAGGGAAAATTGCAAACGAGTATTATACTTTTGTAGAATATTTTTCCAGCAGAATGACAGATTCATGTCACACACTACTTGTAGCCTCAGCTGATGAAGACTCGTGCATCAAGTGCAAAACTAGCAGCTATCAGTGTGTTTTTGTAGCTTGAGTATGATCCGTTTTCTGTGCTTAATGCCAAATACTGTGCACCTTTTAATGTGGAGAAACAATACTGTCCTTTTTTCCTTCAAATAACTTGTAATGTACTATTATGCCCCAGTGCATGCAGTGTGTTTTCTGTTTGTTTTTTTGTTCTTGTTCTTTAGATCTCTTAAAGTGTGTTCATGATTTGTAGTGCATTATTGAAAATTAAAAAAAAAAAAAAAGAAACCATGCACGCACACCCTGGAACCTCTGCTGAGTAGGTTTTGGAGTGTCTGTTGAAACAGTAGTTATGTTCTTGCTTTCTTTTCTTTCTTTTTTTGTGGAGTTTACTCCCTACAAGTAGTACCAACCAACGATCTGTAACATTCATATAAAAAGAAAAAGAAGACATTCAGCTTGTGTAGCATCCAAACCTCTAACCTGGTTTGCCAGGGCTTGATTTAGTGTTAGCAAGAGGAAAGTGCATGTCTGCCTGCGCATCTCTCCAGCCCGAAGGCAGAGGTATAAATAAAGTCACAGTGCAGCTGGAATCTAGATGCATTCATTCCACTGCGGCGTGCAAAGCAGATGGAGACTGACCTACAAACAGAAAAAAAACTAAAAAAGGAGCCAAAAGAGAGACGATCCCGCCACAGATCCAGGAAATGCATTATGACCTTTTCACTAACACCCCCCCAGAAAATCATTTGTTAATACAACAGCCCTGTCACACACTCATACACAAAGCTTCCTGAATGAATTGCCTTTCCCCGTTACTGTTTACATCGAGTAAATGCAGCTTATGCACATTTTTTTAAATAATAGAAACATTTATATATATAAAAAAAAAAGGTATAGCACTTACTACAATTTTGCAGTACCGTAATCTGCAGTAATTTTAAAAATAAAATAATTTAAGCAGTTTATATTTGCTGGCACATGCTAATATGACGGTCGGCATAGTCCTGCTTTGATATTTTTATCCTGGCATGCATCTCTTTGTTCAAATTCTGCATTAATGTTCCCCACTTCCCTTCAGCTCTGCTAACAAGCATTCATTTGTAGCCACCAGAGACCTGCAGAACACAAACACAGGCACATTTAAATCACAAAACCAGCCAACAAGGGGGTGAGTTGAGATTGAGATTACATCAGTTTACTCACACTGAGCATGTAGGTACAACAAAATCAACTGTCAGCACTAATACAGCATTATCTTCTTACCTGTGGCTTTCTTGCAGCATATCTGAAAGTTCTTTGACTTTCTCAGCTTCCTGCACTTTCTTCCTCAGCCCCTCGATCTCTTTCTTCAGTTCCTCGACTTCGGCCTGAGCTTCTAAACACAAACTGGGACACTTAGTAGGGAAAGCAGCATGTTCGCTTATGTCACAGTGGCAAGTACACCCACCTCTGATCTGAGACACATGTGAGCTTTTCATCATAGACTTCAGATATTGGCGTTCTAACTTGATGAGCTGCTTCTGCAGAGCAACGTTTTCCTCTAAAACGACCCTCAGCTGCTCGTTCAGTTTGCCCTGTGTTAGAGTGAACACTGTGAATAAAGTTTACTCTTATGGTTCTCTAAAGCTTGGTGTTGTGTTTGAGTGGTGGATCAACTCACCACCGCTCTCCGAGCTTCCTCCAGCTGAGCGGAGAGGTTGTGCACTTCAGTTTTGTGCTCTTCCTCTCGTGCTGCCGCTTGAAAGCGAAGCGCATCAGCTTCCCGCCGTAAGGTCCTGACCTCAGTTTCCCGACTGGAAATATCGCTTTCCATCATGGAGAGGATCTGGACTGCCTGAGCTGAGGCCAAAAATAGAGATGATAGGAAGACATTCGTTATCTCAGGCTTCTGTAATCAGATAGCGCATTCCTCAAAACCAAAAGTCCAAACTTACACAGGAAGTTGTTGTTTTGATGCAGTGACCTCTCCCCTGTCCAGTGTTTGTCCACGAGGTTGAGGAGCATCTCCAGGGGTTTCCTATAACTACCCTGGGAAGAGAGTTCAGAGATTCCATGAATAGATGTGCAAAGGAAAACCCTGCAGATGAATGAGGAATGATTCACGATGTCATTTGCAAATCAGTAAGAGGACCGAAATAGCTGCCAACCTTTTTTTTCTTCTCAGCTTGCCCAGGCTGGCTGGAGCTCCCGTCTGTTTTGTTGAAGCTGGAGTAGGTTAGTCGTGGAGGATGCAAGATGGGGTTAAAAGGGTCAGACAGATTCAAACCAGGGCGTCGTGGACTGGGAGGCCGGATATTAATAAATGAGGAACTGTGACGGAGGCTTTCATCTGGGAAAAATTACAAAATGTGGAATGAATAAAGAAATCCTAGCTCAGGGATTTTGTTAAACACAAATTTATTTCCTACCTGGATTTGGGGTAAAATGCCCTTTAGCTGGATGTCTGGTTTGTTTGGAAGAGTCCTTTTGCTTTGGGTTTCCATGAGCAGGTCTACGTTGCTCTATGTAGGGGCCAAAGGACACTTTTGGTCTTTCAGGCACTTTTATTGAGGTGCAGCTTTTTTGATGAGACAGATCTTTCATCTGTGACCCTTTGGACTCACTGTTATCTGACGAGTTACATGTGGCACACACACATAAAAAAAAATCCCAGTGATATTAATCGACCTTTGACAAGCACATTGTGTTAAAAAAAACCCACAGGAAAAGACTTATGTCGCCACCTAGTGGTGATTATACACACTGTCACACGTTGTTTTCATAATTGCTTACTGATAAGGATTTCTTACCTTCAAAGAAAGCTTTATTCTCATAATAATTCTTCTGCAATCTCAATTCTAATAAGATACTGACATAGAAAAAAACTGCACTCTCCTAAACTAGAAAAATAGGCTTACCAGTTTTAGTGAGTGGATACCTGAGGATGGATTTAGCAGTTTCCTAAAAATAAGAACAGAGCTACTTCATAATGAACTTTTATACTGTTAATGTTATTTAATCTGTAGTAACAATAAAAGCACCTGTTTGGGAGTTGAGCTCATCTGTTCTCTAAAATCTTCAGAAACTTTCTCTTTGAAACCTGAAACAGTGGATGGTTTGGATTTATCAGAAGTTAAAACAAAGAAACATGAATTAGTCAGGTTTGATTTTGATTTTTGGAGTTGGACATCTTACCATCGGCCTCCTTGTGAAATGACACAGAGACAGCTTCACTTTGCTCTCCATCATTTGTGGCAACAAAGTTCAGCTCAATATCACGAGTGTCGGTCAGGACAGAAAGGCTCTTGGTTAAGCGGTCAGTTAAAGCTGGTCTGCGATCACTGCTTCTGAAAAACCACAGATGACACAGCAAATGGTGCCGCTCGAGCAACCGAGGTTGAGAAGACTCGTCTCGCTGCATTTTCATGTGCTCCACCAGCCCGAAGATGCATAAAACTGCAACAAATCTACTTATGATCCTGATTCATAAAACTGTCAATGTGGGCACACATTTCTGTTTCTTTTTTTCTGCCAATTCAACATATGTACCCACGAAACCTCATCATTAAAAATGAAAAGGATCACTTTATAGCAATGTTTTGTCAAGCCTTACTTAATCTCCTTACTATCATTTCTCGGTAGCTGCCTGTGCTGCTGGTCTGAAGAAATTCTTGTTTTATGAACAACAGCATACACTCAATGGACACTGTATTAGGTACACCTTTTCAACTGCTTGTTAATGTAAATATCGAATCAGCTGTTAACATGGCCGCAACTCACTGGATTTATGGCTCGTGCTCAAATAAAGCTCAAATAATCTCAATCTGGTCGTGACACTGTATTGAAATGGTCTCCACAACCACCAGATCTCAATCCAATAGAACATTTGTCGGATGCGGTGGAAATGAAGAGTCACATCATGGATGTGGAGCTGACAAATCTGCAGCAGCTGTGTGATGTTATCGTGTAATATGTCCCAAAATCTCTGAAGAATGTTTCCAGCACCTCGATTAATCTGTGCCATGAAGAATTAAGGCAGTTTTGAAGGCAAAAGGGGTCCAAATCAATACTGGTAAGGTGTAACTAATAAAGTGTCCATGAGTGTATAAGAGAAAAACAGTATTTTCAAAAATATATTACTTATAAATCTGGTATCAGATCTTTATTTGACTCTTTCATCAAACAGAATGAGCTGAAGCTCATTTACATTAAGGATTTTGTGTTCAGCATACCTTCGATCATCAATCAGATTCAAAGAGAAGCTCATCTGCTGAGGAAGAAGTTCAGAAGAGAACTGCATCAAGGCAGATTTACGCTCAGCATCTCTGACTGAACAGCTATCTGTAAATCAACGAGGAGAACTTATTATTTTAAAACCTGACATGAGATGAGCAAATTCTGGGAAACAAAACAACATCTTACCTAGCTTGCGCAGGGTGGGCATGGCATGCACCAAGTAAAGGCGGTACTGTGGATTATTTTTAGCCAGAGGGTTGAGCCTGAGGTCCAACTCTTTTAACAATGGCAGCTCAAACAGTACTTTCACTTCTTCAAGAGAAGGTATGCAGTTATAGTAGAGGATCAGCCTCTGTAGCATTTTTAAATGTTGCACACCCTGGGAACAAACCAATGGAACGGTTAAGATACAGACTCTGCAAATATTATTAGTCATGCAATATATTATATTACTTGATGTACAAAATATACAGTATTGGCCGATATCAGCATAAGAACATGCAGTTTTAGTGTTCAGGGTAATCTTAGGTGTGCTGCAATAGGCTTACATGGGATTTATAATTCAGTGGGTAATTTAAACACTAGCCACCATAACCACAACCCCCCCCACGAAACCCTGCAGCTTCCCTAGAACTGTAACTACATGTTAGGCCAACACAGACTGCATCTACTGTGATTAGCATGTTCAACGAGGACTCACAAATGTCTTCAAATTCCTAGAGGGAGATTGCTCAAACTATCAAATAGTTTATACACCACTACTGCACTTAATCATTTATAATTATTAAACTCTGACTCTTTCTTCAGTAGTAGTATAAATTGTGAATTCCATTTTTTTTAAAAAAACAATCTAAAACTAACCTCAACTGAAACGAGTGCATTACAGGAGAGATCCAGAGATTTCAGACGGATAAAGTTACTCAGACCATTTCCCAGGTGTCTGATCTTCTCCTCATATGTCCCCGGAAGGCTCAATGTCCGCACGTCGCCTATTTAAACAAAATTAAAAAAGTAATAACTTTAAGATGTTATGGTGATGTGGTCTGGAGCAGGAAGCATTTATTGCTACGCTAGCTCTCGTTAGCTTATCTACTGATGCTCTGGCCTGGCAGAGTATCTAGCTACAGTACTTTCCAACAGCAAATGTCTGATGTCCCTGTCTCACCCTTAAAGTTAGCTGCTGATTACTCCTACATAGTGTATATATTAGCTTGGATGTAAAGTTACCGAGACACGGGTGTTTTAGCCTTAATCTTTCACGTATCCACTGCTCTGTTAGTGTTGTCAAACACTTCGCCGCCATACTTTTCGAAGTTCTGCTGCCTTCACGGCCTGAAAAATAAATACCGTCTTTCCTGTTTCACTTTTGTTACTGGAGGTTTTATACAAACCGTAAGTAAGTAAGTAAGTAAGTAAGTAAGTAAGTAAGTAAGTAAGTAAGTAAGTAAGTAAGTAAAATTTTATTTATATAGCATTTCTAGATAAAAGATCACAAAGTGCTTCACAAGGTATATAAAAAAAAAACCGTGATGTATGTTCATTAACTACTACTTCTTGTTATTTGCTAAAGTTGTTAGACGTCAGTTTATTGAGAGTTTGAGTGTACATATTAAAATATAACTTTGAAAATGCAGGTTAATATTTTTTAGTTCGACCAAACATATTCAGCTAATTAATGAGAGCTTTCAGATTTTTTGAAAACAAAATTGCATTGTTTCAGATATCTGTATAAAACACGGGCTCAAAAAAAGATGAGAAATAATCAAGTAATCCGTAAAGCATTTCAAACCTGGTGGTCATTTTGGTTAGAATAGTTGCAGGGTTTACGAATGGCCTTGAATGCACCATTTTGCGCCTGCGCATTGCCAAATCCTTGTTTGTCACGTGTCAAAACAAACGGCCGCTGTTCCTGCTACAATTGTGGTTCCTATCTAAAGTTTGGTGCTGATTGTTTTCTCTGTTTGTCAGTGAAATTTTTGAAATTTTGACACCGTCTCCAGTTTTAATAGCTAACTAAAAACACGCTGATTAAGACTTTGTAATTTTCCTGGTGTTCTCTAGCCGTGTCTCCCAGGATCAATGGCGTCCTATCTAACAGAGTGGGTCACGTCATGTTTCAACATAATTTTGACAGCCACTGCACTCCACTCCTCTTACAAACTATTTAAGGTGGGTATCACTCAATGTAGTATCTGTGTGTGGACATTTATTTGTAGTAAATGAGTAGTTTCTGCTTTTAATAAATGATAGTAAACTTAATATCCTTGGGTTTGGCCTTCTTTCCTCAGCTATTTCCCTTTATTTTAGTTTTCTTTTTCTTTTGCATCTAACTTTTAGCAGTAAACCGTAAATCTTTTACTTGACATTTGTGAATCTATCTATCCAGCCAGTATCAAACTTGGTCATTCTCTCTCTGCAGGTCCACAGAGCACCTTCAGTAGGCTTCTTTCTGCTTGGGATCTCTGCAGCAATTTCCCTCTTGCATCCCTCCAGCTCGTACCTAACCTCCCTGCAGAGAGAAGCAGAATGGGCTGCTGAGGTGCTGGCTCCAGTGTTGGTCTCCTTTGATTTCCTTTGGCTCAGTCAGGACCATAACACAGCACAGATTCTCCTCTGTGGTTCTTGCCTGCTGCTCGGACTCTCTGACTGGCTCTCAGCAGATACTCTCACAATTATGACTCGCTGTCTGGGCCTATCATCCCTCTCCTGCTGCCTGATGGTGTGTTTGTTTGCTGGTAATGCTTCAGGGGCCTTTGGGAGCATGGCCCTCAGCCTCCCCTTACTGCTGACTCAGAGGTTTGGAACAAAAACTTTTGCTCCTCTGCTTTTTCCAGCTGCTACAGAAGGACTGATGAAGTGGCTTTTAAAGGGGTCACTGTTGATAGGCTGTTGGGTATCAACTCTTGCTCTTGGCAAGTTTCTGTTTGATGTGACTGACCAAGCTGTCTATTTAAGTTCATAGAAATCTCTGGTATCTAGGACTGTGACAGATGTGACTGACAAACTAGAAAAATGCAGAAATCTAATATGCCTATTAATGTGTCAATATAATAAATAATAGCTCCAGTAATAGCTGGTTCAGCCTTCTCAAGGATTTGACATTTGTCTTTTTCCTGCATCATCATGCAGCATTTTTATGGCTCATAATGAGCTTTTGGGGAGTAAATGAAACATGGCAGTAAGCATGTATGTAGTAAAGACAGTGAGTCGGTGTTACTTTATTTAAGTGAAATCTATGCACACTGCCTTTTGATAAAAACAAACATTATACTTGTGTAAATTAATCCCAAGTTAAAAGAACTGGTTAAAAAAATCCTGTTTTGAAGGTAAGGGGGTTTGTTGTGGGCTTGTCTCATATCTCTACCTTTTGCCTCCTTGTCTCCTCTGACCTTTGTCTACCTGCTCTGTAAGACCCATACTGTTTCTATGTGTGTGATGATGTCTTATCCTCACCTCACTAGGAGAGGAATCAAGGATGTAAGAAATAAGTTTGCGGGTGGGGGGTTGTTGAGGGCGGTACCAAAAAGTTAAACATGATTTATGAATTTGAAACGTATCTATTAAAAAACCCAAGAAACTGAAGGTGCCAGCTGAGGGTGTGGGAAGCTGAAACTTTTAATAGGATTTAAAAATTGGATTTTAGGGTGACTGGGATTTCCTATTCCTATTTCCTATAAAAATAAATAAGCGATATAGGGAGGTTCAGGGAAAAGCATCAGGATTTGTGGTTCATCGTCTCAGAGAGCACATGTACTAAAGGAAAGCACAGTTTTAAACAGGGAAGAATATAAACAGTAATTTAGAAGAATTTCCAAACATTAAAGAAATAATTCTGGATGAAATTAAAGATGGGAAAATTTTCCAGCATGATAGTACCACAGCATGAATATTACAATAGTCCTTTTTGTAATGCTTGTTTTTGCTTGCCTCTGCATTTTCTGGAACATACAGCCAAACCAAGAGACCATGACTGAAGATACCCTTTTTGTAGAAGTCTACTTAACATATGTTGTGTTTGACTATTCTAAAGATGTCATTTGTATATTTGAACTTCCTGTATGAATTTCCTTTTTAGCAGTGTTCTTCCATCTTCCGGCTCTTCTAACAGTTTTAATGTTGTGGTTTCCAGCTGCCTCAGAGTCTGGGTGATATTTGTTCTGCAAACTCAGCACGATGTCTGTTTAAGAAAAAAAAATCTGCAGTGGCAGAAGGTTTTGGCCCAGCCCTTATCTCATCACAACTGTTTGATTCTTATCAGTTAATTTAAAGAAGGAAAAAAAAAACTTTCTTGGTTTGTATCAGCTGTCTTGGTACTTGAAACAACCTGGCCTGTTTAAACCACCCTCGTTTCACTGTGTCCCATGTCATTTACATTGACCTTGTGAGATATTGATATTCCTTACAGTCATTTGTAGTGGACGCTGCAGAGGCTCCCTAAAGATTTCAGGGGTGTGAGCAGCTTCCTCAGCAGTTTTTCCTTTTTGCAGTATATGTGCAAGCATCTGTGCCTTTCTCTGGGACTGCCTATGTCAGTCTTCAGGGAAAAGATGAACACTGATGCTTTTTACCATTTTTGTGGGAAATCCAAAATGTTATGGTAATTGTTGCCTTTTAAAGTGTTAGTTTTCTATTTTTTGACCATTTAGAAGTTTGACATTTTGTATTTAACTTGTTAAATAAACAAACATGTAAAACCTGACAGCCATCTCACTGTTGTGCTATCTATCATTGTTAAACCACTTTTTTACTCCTTGAAACCATTCCGATGTTTTCAGATGCATGAAGCTGCAGCTTCTGATTTTTCCGAGCACCTTTTATGGTCACTGTCACCCCTGACTGCGACCGCTGGCATCAAACCTACAACCTCAATCTGTCTCCATGACTGCCTGTATCTGTCACTTCACCACTGCAGCGCATCGGGAAACTGCACTGAGCATGCTCGCTGCAGATGCAGCCTGTAGATGGAACAAAGGGGAGGAGAGAGGAGAGGACGGTTGGGAAGGAGGCACAGAGGAGCTGCACACAGCTGTGAGATGCTGTTGCAGCTCTGAGAACAAGAGCTGCATGGGAAGAGTCATCACTGGGAATACAGATGGAAGCTGAAAGTGGAATACGAACGATTGGAATGTCGGAGAGTCGACACCAAAGAGGAGAATTCATTTGATAAGGTAAAGAAGTCGAAGCGTTTTATTGTGATGGAACAGAGCGATTGTTACAATAGAAACAATGTTTCACCTCTGTAGAAGTCATTGTGTATTTGCACTAGATTTTGTTATTATGTAACCTTTAAAAATCATTGATATTAAATGTTTTGTTAGTATAAGAGTACAAAAATAAAATTCTGCTTTTCTCCACCTTTGTAAAGATGCGTGCTATTAATGACCTCATTTGTCATCTATAGAGACTCTTGGGCAGCGTGGAGATGTATGCCTTTTACTCCCTTTTGGTCTACATCTTCTACACTGTCTTTAAGAAGGAGGAGGAGGAGGAAGCCTTGGAAGGGGCGTGTGGAGATTCCCCAGATGTACGTCTAGCCATATCATGTCCAGCCTCGGGGGTTCTCTATTGAAATAAATAAATGGGGGGGGGGACATGCAGGCCATAAGCTCACTAACAAAAGATGTATACAATGCTGCTGTATGCATGTCTATTTTACTGTGTTACTGACTCTTATATATGATGCTGTGCTCAGGAGCCAGGACCTGTTTCCATGGAAACAAGGAGCAGGAGGAGAGATGGCCACACCCCCAAAGTGGGAAAAAAAGCTTGTGCTCGCTTTAGTGAATCAAGTGGGTGCTCAAATAGTCTTTCAGGGCATTTTTAACCATAAAATGAAAGTATTTAGGAATAACACTTTTGTTTTTGTCTACAAGAGATCAATAAGTACATACATTCCTTGACTCTATTGCTTGTGTGATGCGATGTCATCCAGGCAGCAGCAGTGACACAGATGAAATGAGCGATGAAGATGAGGAAGACGCCCCTGACATCCCAGCTTGCACTCCTCTGGCCGCTTTTCTATCTTTCAAGCAGGATGCTGAGAAGAGAAGAGCTTCCCAGGTTCAGCTCGAAACAACAGGAAAGGTAACAAGTGTCCAACTGATGTAGGACAGAATAACACGAGCTCGATTTGCCCAAACCGGGGCATTCTGCACATTACTAAGGTTTATGTGCGTGTGTTTGTGTGCGCTCTTCGCTGCATAGTTGGCAGAGTCTCCCCTGGTGGCAGTGATGTCCCACTTGCTGAGTTTTCTGGAGCAGTACTCCCATTTCCAGCAACTGCAGCAGCAGGCTGACCAGTACCGGATCCAGCTGAAGAGGCACCGAGTCCAGCACCGCCGCCAGATGAAGGCTCTCCGAGCCTCCTACCGCCAGCGTCTCCGGGACAAGAACAGCATCATCAGCAGTCTGGAAGAGGCCATCAGCCAGCAACAGTGCCCCAGTCCACTGAGCGAGGGTGAGAGAGCTGGGATGAGGTTGGAGAAAAGGAGGAGATATGATAGAGGGGGGAGGGAAGGAGCGATGGGGGAAGGGAAAATAAGGGGAACGTGAGATTGCGGTGGATTGTCATGGAGTGTGTGAGACAAAAATGAGGAAAAGGTCAAGGGGCTGTTTCAATAAACGCATCCACTCAGCTGGTGGGAAAAGAGGTGGTGAAAATTACACATGTCTGAAGGTAGATTTATGAGATTCCAGAGTGGGTAGTTGGAGGAAGATGAATTAGCAGGACAATGAATGAAAACGAATGGACTGGGTTCTGTATTTTAAATAAGACAGGGCTCATGTTCTCTCTGTTACAGTGGAGAAAATTCTACAATATTCCATTACTGCTTAAAAAATGTGAAGAGCATTGAGAACGAGAGATTTAAAGCATGATGACTAAGTGTTTTGGTTCATTGTCATGGGGTATTATGTAGTTCAACTACATTTAATGTGGGTGTGTGCCTTTTAAGTTGTCCACCTACCCAGCTTTAGAAAAGAATTTGATTTTATCTAACTGGGAACACAAAGTACATGCGAGGCAGCACTTTTGTAGAAAAACAGGTTAATCAGATTTATTAGGATGCAAGACGTTTGGCAGTAATGATGTCACAGAAGCCAGACAGACACTGTACAGCTGCAACTGACCACAGAGCTTTAGATGTTTGTATCTGATGTGCTTCAGATTTGACCAAATGGCTCTTTGACATCGCAGCAGTGTATTCTCTCCCTTGGTGTTGTGCATATGGTCAGGTTGTTAACAGCTCTGTAGATCTCAAGCTCACTTATATAGCCTCAGAGGAATACCTCAATATGCATGATAACCCAAACCAGATTATAAGCATCTCTATAAGTAGGCGTGTTTAAGGCCTTGAGTGCTGGCTCTGTAGTTTCTGCATAAAGATGCGTGAGTATGCGGTGAGACTTTGTGGTACTTGTGTAGCGACTCAGTGACTCTTTGTCATGAATAAAACAGGGCTGTTAGTGCTGTTTTATTTCCTGCAAATGCACTTACAAGGTCGGGCACATGCTAGGCAGCACGTGTAAACGTGTTGGACTAAAAATAACCCAAGGCCTACGTCCCAGGGTTACAAGTCTGTCTGGTTTGCTTGTTTAGTGTCATGCAGGACTGGTTCTGTGCCTCTTGGGTGTGCAGCAGCTAAACCAGTTTGTATCTTTGTCTGTGATCTTTCATTCAGTATTTAAACCGAATGGTTTGCCCTGCATGCAGATGACATTTATCAGAGTTTAACATACATTTTCATGCGCCATTTCAAGCTGCTGTCTTAAAATTGACATCGTTACATTAGTACCTCTGCAGCCTCAAGTGCTTGCCAACACATTTACGCCTGCACCACTAATTCACAGCTGTGGCCTCGTCTCCTTTTTGTTTTTCAATATCTTGCACCACCACCTCTTTTTGATACAGCAATGAAATCTGACATAACGCGTTGATAAAATTAGCAAAGAGCCCAGCAAGGAAAATTAGACGTGACAGAACCCGATGAATCATTGAGGAGGAGGAAAGCGATTAAAAGCTGTCGGGCATGCAGCTCAGGTTCTTGTTGGACAATAGGCTCCTTTTTTATAGGTTGTTGCATTTTTCACATGGTGGGTGAGGGAGCTTTCAGCACACTTTTCATTTTCATTAATATTACAGTCACTTGGAAGCTTTTAGGTGCACTGTAGAAGTGGTATTAAATTAAAATTACTGCATTTAAAAAAGAAAACGAGTGAGTGGAAGTTCAGATGTTATTGATTCTGACTATTTGTGACTGGCATAACATTAATATGTTTACAAAGACCTAGTTTGCACTTAAGCTGATGATTATAATGGATGTTATTTGTGTCCACCAGGTGAGTCTAGTAGTGATGAAGGGGCACAAGCTGGGGTTCACAGGCTGGTGCAGTCCCTGCACGGCCTGCAGGGTGAGAGGAGTAGGCTGAGAGGAGAACTCCGTTTGCTGCACTCCCAGCTGGAGCAGAAGGAAAGGGACAGACACTCTCGAATACAAACCTTTCAACAGCAGGTAGACCACTCCTTACTAGTTAGCTCCTAGGCTAGACCAATTTAAGCAAGAAAAAATGCCACCTGAAATCCAAAGTTGCTCTGTAACTTTCAGTGAGTTTTTAGATTTTGTTTTATTATGAATGCATGTATATACTGAAAAAGGCTAATCCAGTTAAAGCACAAACATATCCTCTTGGGTGTTACACTGTCGTTCTGTTATCTATTCTATGCTGCCTTTCTGGAAGGGTCTCTCAAAATATATCACAAAATATAAAAAGTAAAAAATATGTGCACATAAATCATCAGCTTGACATTATGTTACATGTAATAAAAGTAAATTTTAGTTTTAAATGTCTGTAAAAAACATGGTTTTGTAATTTTGCACAGATTGATGAGCTGAAGAGCTGCATCGAGGAGCGTGAGGAGGAGCTGTCAAGACTGAGAACAGCCACTGTAAGAGCTGCACGGTCAAACTATTGACTTAATCGTTTCTCAAGTCTTTGTGAGTGTCCACTTCATCAGCTGAGCTGCCACACGACCAAGTTAAAAATAGCCAAGCAGTGGTCTGCTTGCCTTGTACAAAACCTTAACTAGAAATTACTTTAAAAAAAAAAAAACATTGACCTAAATGTATACATATACTAAATAGACATTTTTCTGATAAATGATGGGATTTTTTCTGTTAATATGTTGGTCCTCAGCCTTATGTTTCATGTCCTCAGGGGGCCACAGACTCGGAGAAGCGGGTCCTGTGTCTGTCAGCAGAGAATGAGAGTCTGAAACAGAGCCTGAGCGTAACTCAAGGCCTCCTGCAGCAGCTCTCAACCATCCCCTCCCAGTCGAGCACCATGCTCATCAAGGTGAGAGGGACCAGCACAGCTGAGTGCTCACAGACATTCAGTTTAGGCCTTCTTACACTTGTAATCTACTTTGCTTTAGGAAAATGAGAACCTCCGTGGCAGAGTGCAGCAGCTGGAGCTCTCCCTACAGCAGCGTGCTGAGCAGCTGTCGCAAATGGAGCGACGGAGTGAACAAAGCGAGTGGAGAAGAGGCGAGGAGCTGAGGAAGAGAGAGGACAGAGTGAGAGACCTACAGCTGGAGTTGGATAGAGAGCGAGGCAAGGAGCCCGTTATTAAGGTAAATCTTATTTTGGAGAATTTTTAAAATGGATTTGAACAATGGCCATAAACTTTTCAAGATGATGAAGAAAATGACAGAAATGCTTTGTGACTGATTTCGTAACTTATATTGTTGAGTAGAAACACACATATAAAGAATTAATAATGTAGATAATTTGATTTGGGTATACTGACAATATCTTTTCATATTATTTTAGAAAAAATGCCCCTAACTAGATGTATCTTCTCTGCCAGTATGTCACGCAGACCGTGGAGGTGGAATCTCCAGCCACAGTAAAGCAGCTAACCAAAGCCAGACAGAGGAATGAGTTGTTGTCCGAAAGGCTGTCCGGTCAGAATGAGCGGTGCAAACAGCTGGAGGAACAGATCAGGAAGTCAGACGAATACAGCTGTAATCTGCAACACAAGGTGACGAACATTGGCAGTACCATTTGCACAAGTAGGGACAATGTGCTCCACCAATGTTTGAGCTTTTGTCACAGGCAGCAGCAAATAAAGAAATGAATTACCTTTGTTAGCTGTTGGGTGGAAGAAGTTCCAAAAAAGAGGTATAAATCAAAAAACACCCTGTTTAGTTAACACATCATCACAGGATGGATAATTAAAGTCAGAAGGAGGATGTTTCTGTGTTGCTGCTGGAAATTCACAGTTTCATTCACAGAAGAACTGATTGCAGAGCAGAATCTGCACATACTGCAGTAGTCGAGCTCACAGACTGACAAGCTGCTCTGCTGAACCTCTTACAGATTGCGGCGTATGAACGAGAAATCAGTAAACTGAAAGAGGAGCTGCTGAAAGAGATCGGCCACTTGGAGGAGAGGAAGGAGGAGGCTGTGAAGGCTGCTGCAAACTGCTCAGCAGAACACTTTCAGAACCTGCAGGACCAATTCTTCAGTGAGTAACTGAACCTCCAGGAAAAGAACTCTTGGTTTCTCCAAGAGGAATTGAAATCAAAAAGCAACTGGATTTGAAAAAACTGGATTTTTTTTTTTGCCTTTTATCAGGCTTGCAGAAGCGTCTGACATCACTTCCTCCAACTTTACGCTCTATGAAGACAGACTACGCCAGCCTGAGGAGCCAGGTTCGAAATTTCTCAGAGTTTTATGGAGCAGCTATCAGCGAAGCAAAAAAACAGGTATGTGGTGCCTTGAGAGCTACGTTTAATAAATTTGCCTATCTGACCAAATCAAAAGGTTTCATGATGGAGGGTTTTTGGGTTTTGTTTTTTTTTTGTCTTTTGATGTTGCAGATTTCAGCTGCTATTAGTGAGATGTCTGAAGCCAACAAAGATCTCCTGGAGAAATACAGGAAAGAAGTCGCACTGCGCAGGAAGTATCACGAGCAGCTGGTGGAGCTTAAAGGTATAACACTGAAAGATTCAAACTGGCCGCACCAAGTAAAATCAGCATCACTGAGCGAGCTCCCTGTTTGCAGGCAACATTCGCGTGCTGTGTCGCGTGAAGCCAGTGCTAAAGGAGGACCAGCACGGAGAGGACCACTCGGTGGTCGTGACGACGGACCCCAACAACGAGTCCTCGCTCTCGGTGCTGAGCAAAGGAAAGGCTCGCATCTTTGAAATGGACAAAGTCTTCCACCCACAGTCCACACAGGAAGAGGTAATAAAGATGACACGTGTGAAGGAAGTATTAATGTACAGCGGGAAGACCGCTAACCTTTATTTTGGTTTCCTCAGGTCTTCCAGGAGATTGAACCTCTTGTGACGTCCTGCATCGATGGATACCACGTCTGCATATTTGCTTACGGACAGACGGGCTCTGGAAAAACCTACACTATGGAGGTAAAACACTGATTACTGTACGTGCTACTCATAATAGACATTTAAAGGTTTAATATACAAGCTAAGTACCCTTTTTATTTCCAGGGTACTGTGGAAAACCCAGGTATCAACCAGCGAGCACTGAAACATCTCTTCAGTGAGATTGAGGAGAGGAAGGACATGTGGTCTTACAGTGTCACAGTCAGCTCTGTGGAGATCTACAATGAGGTGCTAAGGTACAGCCTTCCTCCTTTTTTTCTTTCGATAGAGCCTTACCTAAATAATAACTACCACTTGTAGATGTGGCTACTTGTATTTTGTATTTTAGAGACCTGCTGAGTAAAGATGGAGAGAAACTGGACATAAAGATCAACCCGGATGGAACAGGACAGCTGCACGTGCCGGGCCTCAGGGTCATCGAAGTAAAGAGCTTTCAGCACATCAAAAAGGTAAAAAAAATGTTTGCTTCTCTTCTTTTTATTTGTTTTCAAACACCCACACAGATGCAATTTTTTGAATTATGATTCAGCATTAGAAAAATGATTACACTTATGCTAATTGATTGTGTGCTAATCCAGATTCTAGCAACAGCCCGAAGGAACAGGATTACCTTTGGCACTCAGATGAACCAGCACAGCTCCCGCTCCCATGCCCTGCTTTGTATCACTGTTCAGGGCACTGACCTCGCCACTGGTTCCAAAACCACAGGTCAGCTATTAATGCATTTCTGCTTTAAGATGGAACGTTTACACAAGGGTGTCAAACATAAGGTGCGGGGGTCAGAATCAGCACATCAAAAACTCCAATCCAGCCCGCTGGACAGCTTTGGAAAATATAAAGGAGCGAATACATTTTTGGACTTTTGCCTGTATTGTTTTTCAAGTTTTTTCAAGTCCACCCCCACAGCCATTCATGCTATTTTATGTTTTATGATTGAGGGACAGTTGCGGCAGTGAGCTACTAGAAGTCTTTCTGTAATTTTACACATTTGTCATGTAGAAAAATCTTTATCTTGTAGATGTGTTAGTGAAATTTCACTTCCTTTATCTTACATTTAGATATCTCAGGAATTAAATGTGTAATTAAACATCTTTACTCTGACAGAAAATGGAGTTTTGACTCGTCCAAGCCACTTAATATCACTTATTATCATGGTTTACAGTCTAATACCTACTTTAAATTTAGGTGAGGGCAGGCTGTGAATTTACCCTTTAAAACTGTCTCTTCACACGGGTATCAGTGTGTAAAGGTTGGGATGAGAAGCAGGGGTTAAGTGTATAAGACAAACATCTGGTATGAGTCTTTGTTGGAATGACTGACTTTATTGCTGACATTACTTTTTCGCTCCCCAGGCAAGTTGAACCTGGTGGACCTGGCTGGCTCGGAGAGGGTGTGGAAGTCCGGTGCAGAGGGAGAGAGGCTGAAAGAGGCCCAGAATATTAACCGCTCTTTGCTGGCACTGGGAGACGTAATTCAGGCACTTAGGGCTCGGCAGACACACATCCCCTTCAGGAACTCCCGTCTTACTTATTTATTGCAAGACTCCCTGGGAAAGGGCAGCAAGACTGTCATGGTTGTGCAGGTAAGATTACTGCTCCAGTCCTACTTAATACCTGATGTATAAGCCTGTGATCATTTACAGTAAATATAAATTCTTATAAGGAGCATCATTTTTGTTCAAATTGTTTTACTAAAGGTTTCTGCTCTGGAGAGTAATGTGGGAGAGACCTTGTGCTCGCTGAAGTTTGCTCAGAGGGTGTGCAAGGTGGAACTGGGTCCTGCTGCCAGGAAGATTGAATCGGGTGGAGGACAGTGTGACTGACAGCCTTGAACCACTAGCAATGAATGAATCAGTCAGTACCAGCAAATGAAAACTCCACACTATCAACAAGATTACGAGCAATCGTGCTCAAGGGCTAAATCTGCAGGCGTCTACTTGGCACCAAATGCCAGCCTGCAATCAAGGTTAAGTATTGAGGATTTTATTCTCCGCTTTGCCATTTTCTGCTTCTGTTCCCTTTATTATTATTATTAAAATCTGCATGCAGGCATATTTATTCTTCCACTCCGAGTGCCAAAACATCATCTAACTCGTCCCACTGTCAGAACTTTGATGCTTCCTCTGATCACTCTAGCTCAGTTTCTTAAATGCAAAAATCCAGGATCTGTCGTTTCCTGTGATCATCAGTGTTTAGAGCTACAAACCTGCTCATACAGGTTTGATAAGCTTCCAGAGCCACAATATCAGCACTTCACTTTTTGCAGTATTAGTCATTCTGCTATAAATGTCTGTAGTTTGTAGGCTTCGTCGCCAGTGTGGTATATTTTTGAAGGTTGTAGTGTGTAGGAGAGTCTATTATGGGCTATTATTCATATCAATGACATTTATGTCACATGTTTGTGTAGTTTTTTTGTGTGAGTTTCAGATGAGCAGTGACTGAATTTCTTTTTAGATCTTTGATAAGAGTTTTGTGTAAAGAGGGAAGCTGTTGGAGGGAGCAGGTAGCCTTGTATTAGACTGGTAAAATAATCAGCTGTGCAATATCCTCCTTCTCGAGGACAGTTTGGGCCTATTGAAATCAAAGATGCACTTTATTGTGAAAGGATAGGAGCATTTCAGTTCAGGTCCGTGCAGTAGTGAATGTCATACCAAAAATACAGCTTATTGTTCATAACAGTTTGTCATGTTATCACCCACTGATTCAAAACTAACTTTTGAGTCAAATGTAGCAAGACATTAGTGTTGCAGTAACTACCATGAGTGCTTAGGTGTCACTAAATGATGCTTTTCAGAACATTTTCTGAATAAATGTGTGTTTAAGTGTTCTTTCTCTTATTTGATGCTCAGTAGCATTTGACATGCCATCTCCATTTGGATTTTCTGTTGTAGCTCTTACATCTCTGGTCAAATGTTGATGGAACACCATTTACGGAGGACCAAGCAATAGGTGCAATGTGAGGCACAGAGCCTCTGTAGTGTAGTTTCTTTTTGCCCATCAATCCATTTCCTTACACTTATCCGATTCAGGCTCACCAGGGGTGGAGAAAAAAAAAGTAAAAATATCAAATACAATTGAAATGAACTGATAAATAAGATGCAAGAGACATATCAATGTCATTTAGATGCTATTATCCAGTTTAAACTTTTATGTTCTATGGAAACATCAGTTTACGAGATTATGATTTGCAAATCACTGCATTTTGTTTTTGTTTATATTTACATTTGTCTGTTTTCCTCAGTTTTTTTAAGGCAGCAAAAATTACAAATGAAATGGACAGCAATTTAAAAAACAATATTTTAATTTTACAAAATATTGGCCGTTTCATTAATAATGCATCTCCAAAAAAAACACATATACAGAATGTACTACAAGGACAGAAGCTATGACTCGACTGAAGACCTGACAGGAAACACTGCTTTACTCCCTGCACAATTAAATCTGTATGCACAACCCAGATGTGACTGCTGCAGTAAATCTTGGGCATCTCTGTTTAGTCTCCTTGTTTTCTGTCACATCTTGGATTCAGTCTGAATCTCCCGCCTCTGCTCCGATGGCTCCAACGGCTTCGGCCAACTCCTCTTCATGGCCTCGCAGACGATCACCTGGAAAGACATACACACAAACACTCAATCTGACTCATTCATTGACCGCATCCTCTGATCATAAGCTTAAGACAATGTTTTCCATCTTCCAGGTAAGATCTTATTCAGCCTTGTAGATCACAGGAGGATAATGATTTTTTTAAAACTAACTTTTAAAGATGTATCTGATATTTTTGATGAAATAACATACAATACAAACCTGTCCCTAATACATATTAAAACAAAACCAGGCTTCCTGTACTTTAAATGCTTTTAAATAAAGGTCTTCAGTAATCAGTTACGCGCAATAAAAATATGGGAAATCTCCTACTCGACTTAAACCTGTGATGTATCTCTCATTTTGCCTATTTTTAGAATCACCTCTGATGTTATCAGACAGCTTCAAGCCTCCAGAGTCTGTCAACCACAGAGCAATTAGCCTAATAAATTATGCCCAGCTCAGGCACAGTCATCTCTGTGGCTTCACGAAAATGTAGTGATAAAAGGCAGAAACATAACAGGAAATACTGACGGATGAGCTCAGCGATGGCTCTCTGTGTTCTCCTCTCCAACTTCTCCAGCTTCTTTGCCACATCGCGCTTTAGATCCCTAAATCCAGAATTACAATTTTTTAAAAAATCATTAACGAAATATCTTAAAATACACCAAGAGTTCATCATGCACCATACAGCTTGGAAAGCTATTTTGAAAACAGGTCTTACCAGTCTGGTTTTCTTGGGGCAAGGTTGGCTAAATCCTGAAGAAAGAAAAAGAAAAAACTCAACATGGCAGATAAAAATGCTTCAGTGAAGAAAACTCACGTTTACACAGGGGTACCCACCACTTCCTCAATGATGGGCTCTGGATTAGCTGCCTCTAACTGATCTTTTACTTTATCTTCCACTGCAAACAATAAATACTTATCATTATATAGCCAACAGGAGTCAAAACTACAATCAGTAAGGCAGCATTGAAACCAAAAAGTGTTTTTTAAATGTTTTTTTAAAGGTCGCCTTTGATTGAAGATTTCTTACCTGATGCTGGTTTGGCTTTAGGCACCTGTCTTTCCTTTAGCTCTTCATCCTCTGGAGCGTAATTCCTCAATTTCAGTTCTCTGTGGAAAAAAATACCACTTAATGTGATACTACTATTAGAAGTCTGAATGCTCTTAAAATGCTTTTTTCATACCATTAACCCACACTCTAGACCTCCAGGAGGTGGCAGTGTAGGCAAATATACTCCACCAGAGACTAAAGAGCATAAAAGACCATCTGCAATCCCTACACAGCTGCACATCTAATGTCTAAAGAAGGTTGGGTATAATGTCCCTCTTTATTCCCGTGAACACTTCTGATTAACATGTTCCACCTGCCGCCGGGCAGGAGAGCAGCAAACAGCTGAGGAATTCTTCCCTTGATGTTGAATTATACCGTCTTTCATCACAACTCCACATGGAGGAATTGTTGGCAAGCTTAGCTGACATCTCTGCAGATTAAACCGAGGATCCAGAGGCAGAGGTAAACTACCGTCTGCCCAAGCACCGACCAAGAGAGTTATCAGCTGCTCTGAGCTTAACATGGATTTGTGATGAAGCTTGAGAGCGTACACTCTTGATGCATTCATCAGACTCCTGCTGCTGCCAAAAGACAGACCAATGCCTTGTATGGGTGTGGGCAAAAATGCTAGTCATGTTCTGTGGTTGGACGCCTGAGGTCCACTTTTAATTCACACATCTCTCTTTCTCTACCTCCAGCATATCAGACCTTGAAGGGGCTGTTTTAAGGAGGCACTGTGCTGGTTTGTCCAGCTGATTATTAAAAGGGACTTTTTTTTAGCATTAAAACTGCAAACACAACAAATAGAAATAAGACATTCTGTTGCACTTATCTGAAAGGAGCACGGCCTGCTGTTTAAATCGTTGCATCTTTGCAAAAGGCACCCAATGAGAAGAAAGTCAGCTCAAAGAGTGCACAAAAGTCTAGTATATGGTAAAAAAAACGACTATTTGAAATAGTTAATCATGCAAAGCTATTGTAGGAGCATCTACAATGAAAAATATGGACCTGGTAATGAGCTTAACATGTCATCTTTATTTAAAACATCGTTACTGCAGTAAAATGTATGTGATATGCAGAGGTATACTGATAAACTGCTTTAAAAGCAAGCAGAGCAGGTTTTCCTAGCAGCCACAATACACTTCAAAGGTTAGTAGAAGCAGTCATTTATCAGCCTTCATCACGTAAAACTGAAATAAATAGAAATGCTTTCAAAATGATAGCACAACATGTCTTCCTCAGGCATCCTGAAGCTTGGGTTGGAGCTCTTCTGTTACCCCTTATCTTCTGACAGCTTTCTACAATTAACAAGCTATTAAACAGGCACAAATGTAGCCCAAAACATGTTGCTACATGTAAGAAACATGAACACATTTAGCACAATCCTCAACTAAATTATGCATTATACTGTGTTTAAATAATTAACGTATATACGGGGCCAGAGGAAAGGGTGGATAAGTGTCACAACGTCAAGCACAAAGTCATTCTAATCTCTACTGTCTAAGAATGGAGCTAAAGTGGCACGCAAAGTTCCAAAAATACAAAAAATAATTCCTGTAGGGAGCAACATCAAGGTAAGTGGGAAGAAAGGAAACATCAGCGTCATCATCTGAGGACCACGTCGTGGAGGTGCTGGAGCCTATCCTAGCCGTCACTGGGTGAGAGGTGGGATACACCTCGACAGGTCACCTGTCTATCACAGGGATTTTGTGCTATTTTTTTTAAGAGGGTTTGTCACAGACAAACTGTGCTACGACTCGAGGGAATTATAACCCACTAATCTATCAGGAATCCTCCCCCCGCCTCCAACCCCACACCCCCTTTAGCAGAACAAAAAAAACAGGACAAAGAGTTCATGTAAATTTTCGCCCTTCAAAAGCTTTTTGTTCCTGACTGTCTCTTAGTTTTACACTTCCAAACCTTTCGACGGTGTTTACACATTTCCACTTCAAGCACACCGTAGCATCAAAGAGAACCTGTGATAAATTCAGAGCTCTGGTCGAAGTCTGGCTTTCTCAAAATGTTTAGAGTGAACTGTTTTTAAGGAGGAGGTGCAGCAGTGTGTTCAAATGTTTGCACTGATAAAGCTATCTGCTTCATCAAACCCCAGTAAAAATAATTCCAGGCTACCAGAATTCCTTTAATTTAAACGTGAAATTAAAACAAAAAACTAACATGTAACAACAATGTTTCCAAGTTCAGATTTCTTAAAACTTGTTTGCCATTTCCAAGAACTCTAAATCTACTTACCTATCTTTAAAAAAAGAAAAGACAGGGAAACACCCTGACACCTAACAAGATCTAACAGGAAAAGCTGCCTGGTTTGGTTGGTGCCTTTTGTGGAACAGGCTTGGAGGAATGCATGATATCACACAGGAAGCTAAAAGGTTCTTCGCAATCTTAATGAATTCATTTTGACATTTGAAACTGGTGAAGCTCTCACAAATTAAAATTGGAATAACCTTGGGACAAACATTTTGATTGTTCTGTTCCCTCATACATTCGTTTAGTCATTTGATGCCCCATGAAATTTTAATACCAATCCCAAGATACATTACACTGGCACCCTGCTAAAGATGAGTCTCAAATTGAAACATAAGAAAAAGAAAAAAAGCCTCCAGACTACATTGAGCAATAATTAGCCTTCGTTGCAGACAAATGTCTAAGTTGGGCTCTTAACCTTACAGCGAGTTTCTCATTCGCATGAAAGAGATCTGCCCTGTTGGACTGGAGGAAAAACAGAGGCACTCCCTTGGTGCCGTCAGTGCAGTCATTAAATATAAACAATGGAAAAAAGGTCCTGTAGGACAGGAAAGATGGCTGCTCCTTCCTACAAATGAACGCACATAAGTTGAGTAAGCTGAAGGTTATTTGAGCAGCTACTAGCACAAGGCTGGGATCCAGCCAAGTGTAAATACTGCATTTCACAACTTACACCGAGACATGCATTGGTGTCTAGATAAAGGGCAGATAAATGCTCTGATGATGTACTTGTGAGTCAGTTTCAGTTCCGTTTGCACAGCTTAAAAAGCCTCAGCTAAAGGGGCGAGTAACAGCAATGAGTGGAGACGCAGTGACAAGCTTTTATGACGAATATTTAAAAGATAACAGGCGTTTTTGTTTTCTGTGGGAGGTGCAGTGAACCAACCTGTGTTTCTCTTGAGTGGCCTCTTCTAATGTGGCTTTTTTGCTCTCAGGCTCCCCATCGTCCTGCTCTCGCCCCTGTAAGGACATCAAAGTTATTAACATTACCGGCATTAATTGTTCATTATTCTTAGAGTACAAACTAGAAAAGAAAAAAAAAAAACACTAAAAAATTATTGTAATCTGCCCTGAAGAATCATTTTGTAACATATGATAAGAAAATGAAAATGATTTTTTCTTTTATATTATTTACATAAACGAAATGTGTTGGCAGTGGCTGGTGAAAGTGAAGGTATGTATGTGGTCATTTTAGCTCCAGCACCATAGAAAAACATGATGCTGTTTGCATAGAAAAACAAACTAATATCTGCTTGTTGTCACTCGTCATTTGAGAGTCAAATAATGAATTTACATTTTAAGCTGCATTATTTCTTGACACTGAGCTATTCAGGAGAAGTAGTTCATAAACCCTGAGAACTCCATCCATTCTCTTATGCTTATCCTTATCAGGGTTGCGTGGGAGGGGGGTTGGTTGCTGAAGCCTATCCCAACTACAATATGGCAAGAGGCAGGGTGCACCCTGGACAGGTCGCCAGTCTGTCGCAGGGCTAACACATAGAGAAAGACAAACATTCGCACTTACATTTACACCTATGTGTAATTTAAAATCAGCCCCACTAATCCAACTCTGATTACTCATACTGATCATTTAAAGCTTTGTTTCTAGTCATGATGCATCTGAGATGGTGTCACACACTAAACCTTTCATTTGTAAACAACAGTGTAAGTGAAGAATGAAACAGGCTTGCAGAAATTCCAAAAGCACAATATTGAGCCCATGTCACATCTTGTAACAAAGGATATCAAACCACTCCCAGCTTACATTTTCCTGAAGAGACTTCCTGACCACCTGCTAGAACAATTCAGGGTACTGGCTCATTCTTGAAGCGCAGCACAAACGGAAAACAACGACACACTGCAGGAATGTCAATGATCATTTATCGGCTGTTGCTAGCAAAACTAGATAACGTTTGCTTAGTGAAAGTTGTGATCCAGCTTCCAAAACAGTAGCTTTCGCATTGAATGGGCCTTCCTGTTGCTAAATGAATTGATAACTAGAATTGAAACTCTGCCATAGTGGCGGACAATGATTGTGTAACCTTTAAATTGTTCAACACAGACTGCAGCCCTGTGGAGGAGTGACAGAAAATCTGGTGCAACATCCCCGTCTGAGTCCTGTAGTCCAAGAGCCGAGGTGTGCTGAAGCAAATGCAGCATCAGTTCTGATTGTACATGATGAAGAACTCATTCTCAAACACATCTAACACACTGCTTAAATTTACTACACAACTGACTGCTTTGATTTATTCTCGGCATATTTAATAAAACTGAGGTACCTGCATACTTTACTCAAAATCCTCCAAATAACAGGGAGTCCGAATTTACCCTACCGTATTTTTTTAACCAAGGTTTCTCCAACTTTCACCATAAATGATGCATTTTTTAACTAGCAAGTTTATTTTTGTTCCATTTACACTGCATCAGTATTAGTAAATGAGAAACAAACAATATCTGAAAACTATTTATTTATACATCTACAGTATAGTGACTTGATAAATGTAGACTATAGTGGCAATCATCACTGTTTTCTTCTTCCTCAGGGTGCTCAACACAAACATACACCAACACTCACCTGATTCACTGATACACTCTACATGTATATACCATTAATTCTGCACTAAATCTGCTACAGTATTTTTAGTAAATATATTTTCTTTATTTATAGTTTATTTTATTTTTACCCAAATGCTACTTATCTGCAACTTTACATTTCTATGCACCATTCTGAGGGAGCTCTGAGCCTAAGAATTTCATTGCCTTTATATGACAAATAAAACCTGAACTTTGGCTCGATACTGTGGTATCTGACCTCCCAGCCCATTGTTCCTTCAGTGGTGCTAGTTTCAGTCATTATGCAAATGTACTGTTTATAAGATTGGGAAAACCTGCAGTCAGCTGAGGCTGAAGAAGTCACTTGGATGAGTGATGAAACATCTTTAAGTAGTCTTCAGAAATAGTTCTCCAGGCTTTTTGAAGGACATTTAAAGCTCTGTCTTCTTTTCTGGTTTCTGTCGAGACGATCCCACACTCCTCATGTTGAGATCTGGTCTGACTGACAGTGCTTCATTGTGTGTTTTTCCATCCAGTGATATTTTTAATGCACTGGCAGCTTTTTGAGATCTCTCTCGTGCTGAAAAGCAAACCTGTTCCCAATGAGACACTTTCCATATGATTTTGCATTGGGGAACAAAATGCTACTTTTCCTTTTTCATAACTCCATCAACTTTGACAAGATCCCTAACACCACTGGCTGACCTGCAGCGCCAAACCATAACACAGCTTCTACCGTGGAAGCAAAAAGGAGAAATGATGGCCCAAGACTCTTGCACAGTATTGTAAACTGGGTCGTAAATGAGCTATAGTCTAACTGACTGTAGTTAATGTACAACATCTGATGTAGTATCACTGTAACTGACTTTGAGAAGCGGTTTTAATTCAACTGTCGACGCTAGCAGCGACCTAACATGAAACCGAACTAAAACACAACGAGAATGTCACGGTGCAAGAACAATCACATGAGATTAGAATAAATGCAAAACATACCAGTAAAATAACAATTAATTACTAAAACTGTTTATATTTAAACGAATTTATCGAAACTTTGACAGCTCACTAACAAAGCTACGGGCTAAAAATAAGGCTGATTTTACACACGAGTATGCTAATATTAGCTAAAAGCTAAGTCTGCTAACGGCACCTCAGTGTCAAAATGACGGGGTTTCTGTGGCCTGTGCTACACTTTGCAACATACCGCCAACGCCATAAAAGAAACTTACATGAAGCTGTTTCTCTCTTAGAGCCTTTAGCCTCTCCTTCCTCTTTAGAGCCTGCTCCTGAAGCGACCCAACACTTTGCTCCATGTTTTTAGCCACACGCCGCTCGATTCTCTCTGAAATCTACTCATTGTCCTGATCGGACAAAAGAAGTCCATAGAGCACATCGATTGCGATGCCTTTTGCCTCATCATGTGATTTTGCTATTTGTTGTGTTCATATTTTTAAAATCACAATCATCCGTAAGTTTCACTTGAAATCTGAACGAGAATTATTTAAAAACCAAACTCTTGCTTACAATAATGCGATCCCCAAATAAATAATTAAAACATACTTTATAAATAAGATGTATGTGGTCTATGTTAGTTGTATTATCAAGTACCTTAACTAATGTAACTTTCAGCAGCTTACAAGCTATCTTTGAATGGCTTATTTCAGTCTATTTTAACGATATTGACAAACCTATATTTATATACTAAACGTAAAACACGGACTTGTACACAGACCTGCCTGCTGATGGTCCCAGTGACAGGTCCTGGTTAGGAATGTAGGCCATTGCCATGGTAATACAGCTGCCTCGAGCTTCACCCTGTCTATCCTCCTAATCGAGAGTGTGTATGACAATACAAACCTGCTGCTGTTAATGATATTACTAAGGTGGTGATCATAAAACTAGGAGGGATACGATTTATATATCAATAAAATGACCATGTGCAATAAACCATGTTATTGCTCAGTCAGGGGACAAACATACTTCTGACATGCATTCAGCACAGAGCGGAGAGGAAACATTGTCATTTACAGTAATTCCGTAAGGTAATATTTTACAAAATAAAACATTCCAGTGTGTATTTATTTTTTGTTCAAGATAAAGCCGTGTTTTTTTCAGTATACCCCTCATACTTGCAGGAGTAAATGTTTTGAATCTTTCACCTACGTATTATTTCAGTTTTTAAGGACTAACGCAGCCACAGTGTCGCTTTATCTGATCACAATAAGGAATATAGTAAGGACCCACTGTGAGCAGCTGTCATCAGAACTGAAAGTTGCTCGCTTTAAAAGCTGACAGTTACACCCCTACACCCGTAACTACACAACGCAGGCTTTTATTCAATAATCGCGTGAGAGTTTGAGCACTCAGTGTTCTTTGCACAATTTTTTAATGGTTATTTGTTTTATTTGTACGGAAACGTTTATATGATAAAAACTTTGGGGGCAGCTGCATTCATTGCTCCCGGGTGGCAGTCAGTTAGTGAGATCAGCCCTCGAGCAGGCAGTGTTTATATGTGTGTGTGCCTTTAAGAATATCAGCCTACCTGTGAGCATGATCTAGAGAACTCTTCACCACATTTCTTGTCTTTTTTTTTTTTACAGGGTTACACACTAGTTGGTGATAATTTTCTTCTGATTGTCACACAGCGTTTAGGATCGCGCACAGCTCCAGACCGAGTCCGCAGGGGCAGCGCATTAATTTGTTGGTCTTGAGCGGATGGCATCTGTCGCTTCCGTGGGAACTCTCTCCAACAGGAATCATACGGCAGCGAGCTCGATCTAAATGCGGACATGGGTGTTTCTCCAGACATGCATTTCCACGCATTTGTGTTCCTGGTTGCACAGTTTGGGCAGTGACCGCACCGCGGCCACATCCACACCGTCATGTTTTGCTTTTTCACGTCACTCTGACAACTTTGTGTGTCGAGACTGAAGAGCACTTTTTTTTTTATTTGGGATTACTGTGCCCGAATTTGCAGGAATGGTTCACCCAGGAGCGTGCTGCGTCCTCCTGCCTGTAGGAAGCAACTTCAGACAGCCGTGGCTTTGACCATCTTTGCCAGTTTCATGATCTTTTAAAAGAAAATAAAGGAAATCATGAGCAACCACAAGGGCGGCGGAATGGCATCGAAAGAAAAGCTGTATGAGCTGTGGATGTTATATTACACTAAGGTGAGTGCAAGTGCGGAAGAGCTGACGGTGACACCTGTTGTTGCCACAGGTCCCTTGCCTGAACTTTATTGTGACCCCTAAATACTCTGCGTGATTCACGGTGTGTGTACAGGGTCGCTCTTTGAAAAAAATCGAGGTTTTATTGAGGAACTCGCGTATTTTTTTTCTCCTGCATTTACAGTGACGCTCTGTTAATAGCCGAAGCTGCCTTGTGCACACTATAAAATAATATCATGTCACATTGATGCGCCTCTAAGCTGTCCCCAATTCGAAAGCAACGCGTAAAAAATGGCATTTGAAGCTGATTAACCACTTGTTCGAGTATCCGTTGTTATACCTGCGATGCAGGTGTTACTCAGACTACTTCCTGTTTCTGCTGCTTGCCTGTCTCCCCTACTGAAAGCATGCGCCTTTTAAACTGTTGGAAGATCCTACTGTCATATATTACTTGAAGCATATGCTTAGGCTTTGCACGCAGCAGCACTGTTACGCAGTAGCCAATTGCTTTCCTCTCTCCGATGTTGAATTGACTGTCAAATTTGTTTGTGTGGGAGTTTGGTCTCAGATGTTGTCCCCTGTGGGCGTGAGTGCAGCTCAGGTTTCTGGATGTTTATTAAGGTGTAATATATTGCTAATATGGGTGAAAACAAATTAACTGGAGTAAAATATTGCAAATGCTTTCATATCATGTTCCTACTTGAAGAAGGAAGACAGTTTGGTTGGGTATTATTATTATTTAATGAGTTTGCAATCTGCTTCCATGCCCGAGGACACAAAAAAGAAAAAGAAAAAAGAAGAAGAGGAGCGTTTTTTTTTTCAAGTTTGTACGCGCTGTATCTCATCATCACAGCAGATCTAAAGGGCTAGTCTCTTGACAGTGATAAAACCTTCTCAAAGAGTGGCTCATGTTTCATTATGTATCTCACTGAATGTTGTTTTAATGAAGGGCTTAATCCCAATCTTGGAAAGCAGCCAACGACTTTCTAGAAGAGTGAAGTCAAAGGTGGACAAACTGCAAACAAACCCTAATAAATGCATCACCGATGAAGGTCAACAGTGTATCACCTTTTGCAGCATTTACTGTCAAAGTGGTGATTGTGGTCGCTCTGGGCAGATCCCAGAGGAAGTGTGTTTAATCCACTCCTCTGTGCTCCTCCTGCTGCTGCATGTAACTGCAAAGTTACTGAACTTTTCTGGTTATGCAACAAATAAAACAAGTAGTAGGTGCTGTCACAATCCATTGCTAGAACAAATCATTGGGGGGGGTGTGTCTGTGAGGTAGGGAGGGGTTGCCCTGAATCTGGCTCCGTCAGCTGTCTCACATCTCTATGTGCAAGATCACTTCCTTATTAAGCTGCCTCTTGGCTCCGTGTCACTTTCCTTCAGTTGCCCTGAAGCCTAAAAGGACCAGAAGTTTCCTCCTTTGACTTTAAGAGTGGCACATGTTTTCACAGCATTCTTGAAAGTGTATTTTTCACGTGTGTAAACGACATACCCCGTTGCTCGAGCGGGATTTGATTTGAGCTTAAATGTCACCGCCTTATGTGACTCAGAGGAGCACAGCAGGCCGTGGAAAGGCAGGAGAACCACTACAGAGAACAATCACTGGCCTCTCCTACAAACACCACCATGTAATTGTATTCAGTGTTTTTGTTACCCGCCTGTTAGTCAGGTAGACACAGACAATATCATCTTTTAGTACACAGCCCATCTCTGACTCACAGACCTTGTTTGTAATTTGTCACACTAAAGAACGTATTGACTGCTGTAAATCAGTCAGATGGACAAGAAACCTGAGCTTTATTCAACAAGGGGTTTTGTCAAAGCTGTAAATAAGCCCTCGGCTGCTTTACGCCCTGTAACACGTCTCATTTTAAGTCCGAAAGCGCCTTACGTGTCCCTGTTTGTGACACTGACAGATTTGTTATATTGGTTTAGAAATGTTGTGCATTTATCACCTCCTTTATGCACTCTGACAAAACCAAAACCGGTGTACTCAAATTTTCAGTGACCTTATATTGTCCCGTGGAAGTTGTTAAGTATGTCACAACAACTTCATACATCATAACAATCGATTTCAGCATGTTTGAGTAAATGTGGTATCTCCAGCCTTTAATCTGTTTTAGAAAGCACAGCTTGTCATTGATAAAGGAGGTCCGCCTCCTTTGACTGTGCAAAAAAATCACATTTCTTGCCAGACCTTTAGATCAGGAGCTAATGTAAATGTTTAATAGACATTGTGATTGAGTAGCGTATTGCGCTAAAGCCGGTGAAAAATGGTAAAAGTTCTGTGCAAGTGACTCCAAAAATCACAGGCAGACAATGATTTATAGGCTGATTATTTTCTCGATGCCAGCTTCCTATTATTTTGCCACATACTGTAGCTCAGTAAATACCTGAGCACAGGCAATTTACATCTAGACTATTTACTCACAGACAAGTTCTTGGTTTTCAGGGCTTGCTGATGTAATTTTGTCAGGAAATGTGCTAAACAAAGTTGTAGTTAGGGCACTTTAAGATTTTGTGCAAGAGACAGGACGTGTTTGTGTCTCCAGTTTTGTAAAGCCAGCCTTTCCAGCACTATTTCATTGCTTCATATCTCACATCTAAGAATATTTGAAGGCCATTATAAAATCCTCATGACTTGCGGGTATGGAGGTACGCAGAAGAGTCTGATCTAATCGCTCTGGTGCATAACTTGTTAGATCTTGTCTGGAAAAAATGCAAAAAGGTATTGTTCTTGGGCATGTTTGAGCTTTTCACCAAGTCAGGATGTAGTAATAACCAGTACTTGATCAGTTTTGTTGGTTTGATATTTTATATCTGTATCAATGTAATTGATTGATTGATCAATCAACTGGTGATTATAGTAAAAAGTTACATTTGTATCTTCTTGTTTTCTATTTTGTCCAATTAAAACCAAGGACTATTACATAAGAATAAATAGGCAGCGAGTAGTTTTACTAGAGTTAATAACATTGTTGTACTTACTCTTATTGTTTGAGTTCTTCTTAAATATTGAATCTTTAATTGACCTGTTGACCTGGTAAAAGTCAGGATAGCTCAATGAGTCATATTGTCTTAAATATCTGGTAAATATGCTTTCATGTTGTTACAAATGCATCAACACGCACCACTAGGTACAAATGAAGTGATCAGTTGATGAGATGGCTGACATAAAAAAAAATTAATCAACAACTGCTTTAATAAGTG